TGGTAAAAACCTTCTCATATTCTGTGGGCTTTCTGTTTATCTTGCTAGCTGTGTCCTTTGCCATGCAAAAACACTTCAGTTTGACATTGTCCCATTTATTCAATCTTCCTTTAATTTGATGTGATTCTGGATCTTTATCAGGAAGTTTTGACCCATGCCTAGGAGCCCTAGTGTTTCCCCTACCACTTCCTGTATTTTTTTTTAATGGTATCTGGCATTTTAGTCTTTGATCCATTTTGAATGAATTCTGGTACAGGGTGATATATAAGGACCTAGCTTCAATTTTCTGCATGTGGATAGCCAATTTTGCCAGCACCATTTTGTTGAAGAGGCTGTTTTTCTTTCAATCTGTGTTTTTGGCTTCCTTATCAAATATTAGATGGTTATCATCTGGATTCATTTATGGGTCTTTTATTCTGTTCCATTGGTTCTTAGGCATATTCTTGTGCTAGTCACGCTGTATTTATTTATTTATTATTAATTTTTCTGTCGGTCATGGGGCCTGAACTCTGGGCCTAGGCGCTGTCCCTCAGCTCTTCAGCTCAAGGCTAGCACTCTACCACTTGAGCCACAGCACCACTTCCATCTTTTTCTCCTTATGTGGTGCTGAGGAATCAAACCCAGGGCATGTAAGGCAAGCATTCTACCACTGAGCTACCTTCCCAGCCCCACCCCCCACAAGCTGTTTTTATTACTACGGCTTTGTTACAGAATTTGAAGTTTGGTATTGATATTCCTTCAACAGTGTTCTTCCTGATAAGTATTCTTAGAGTCTGTCATTCCATATGAATTTTTGAATTGCTTTCTCTATTTCATTGAAGAATGTTGTTGGGATTTTGATGGGGACATGATAAATTATAGAGATCTCTAGTCATTCACACAGAGATAGACCAACGGAGGATATTCTTAGGAGAGGATCACAAAAGTGCAATAGCTATGTGCATCTGATCATATAAAATAATATTTGTCAAAATGAACTCCAGAAAATGTAAACAAGAGTTTTTTTTTCTTTGCTGCTGTTATTGTTTTCCTTTGATTAGCTTATTTGCCTGTCTTTGGGAGGATAACAGGAGCACAGAATTGATGAGGCAAAGGGTGAACAAATGTAGCAGTGATATTGTCTAGATACTACATTGAAATGAACTATATAACTTGTGTGTGGTACTGAGAGGGGAAAAACTGAAAGAGAGCAAGGGAAGGGGTGACATTGTTCAAAAGTAAATGTACTCAAACCAGGCCCCGGTGGCTCATGCTTATAATCCTAGCTACTCAGGAGGCTGAGATCTGAGGATTGCAGTTCAAAGTCAAACCCGGCAGGAAAATCAATGAGACTCTTACCTCCAATTAATCACCAGGAAAGAGGAAGTAGTGCTGTGGCTCAAGTGGTAGAGCTCTAGCCTGGAGCTGAAGAGTTCAGGGACAGCGCCCAGGCCCAGAGTTCAAGCCCCATGACTGACAAAAAAGAAAAAAAGTACTCTTTATCTGACTTATGTAACTGTACATCGCCTTTATGATAACAAATTTTTTTTGGTTGGTTATGGGGCTTGAACTCTGGGTCTGGGCGCTGTCCCTGAGCTCTTTAGCTCAAGGCTGGTGCTCTATGATTTGAGCCACAGCACTACTTCCAGGTTTTTCTGTTTATATGGTGCTGAGAAATTGAACCCATGGCCTCATGCATGCAAGGCAAGCACTCTACCACTGAGATACTTTCCCAGCCCGCAATAACAATTTTTTTTAAGAAAAGAATAGAACCTCAGTCTTCTCTATTACTGGATTTTTCCTTCCTACATATCGAGCTTTCTTTCCATTCTCCAGTCTTCCATTTGCTGAAAGGTATTGACTCTTCTGGGTTTTAGGGGGGGTTATTGTTGTTGTTCTTCTTCTTGTTCTTCCTGAAATGTAGCCTGAGATCTTGCTTTTTTTTTTTTTTTGATACATAGTCTCACTATGTAGCCCAAGCTAGCCACAAACTCTTACTCCTCCTGCCTTAGCCTTCTGAGTATTGCACTTAACATGCTGCATTTGTTTGAGATCTAAGTGCTTGTTGGTTGCTTGTCCCCAAAGTATGCTTGCCACTGTCCTTATTTTTGAAAATTCTGCAGTGACTTAAGAACTAGTTAAAACTTAACTAGCTCCAATGTCCATCATGTCAGGATTCTTGAGTGTTAAGACATTTGGGTGGTGTGGATGTGGCTTTGTGTTTGTTAGCTACCTTCAGCATATCCTGTTCCTACATTGTGTACATTGCATAAGTTTCACTGAAACCATAGCAGTAGTTCTAGGCGCCGGCTCTGGGGAGCATGATTTTATTTCTGACCTGGCATGTTGGTGAAATACATTATAGCCAATAAAGATATTCAATAAACCAAATTACTGGCTCTGATGCTAACAATTTCTGGACTGCTTCTTATATGAACTTTGAATAAATAACACTAAGATTCATTTCAGTAAATCTAGCAACTTACTCTAATATCAACCTGTTGTACAGATTTTGTTAAAACCATTAGTAAAGTAAGCCTGTCTTGGAAGGTCATCTGTCCCGAGTAGTGTCTGTTCATAACCACATCATCCTTCCAACATCAAATTCTTTTCTACATTGTTCCATTGTAGCTTTCTTGGATCCCTCTTTTCTTTCTTTCCCTAGGAGAGGTAATTATAAAGTGTTTGGTTTGGTGTTGACTTATATATAGCTTTGTGTGTTTATATTTCCCTAGATTAGAACTTCTCAAAGGTAGAGGCATATAAATCATTTGCAGCACAGCACAGATTAAAGGCCTTATGGATGGCAGTGATGACACTACATACATATTGGGACTGAGCAGGAAGTGGGCTAAATCATTCACAGCAGATGAGATTTTATTCTGGTTTCTTTTTACAGCCAGCCTTTTTCCTTTTCTATAATGCTACTTGTGCTTTTCCATACCTATACATATCCGTTTGCACTAGTCCCACTGCTCCTGTCTAGGAAGCGTGTGGGGGAACTGACTCAGTACTAACTGCATCTTATACATATCCTACAGAGGTTGGAGTTAATTTCCATCACCTGGTTCAGGAGTCACTTTGGCCCAGGCTCTGCCCCAGGAAAACTTGGTGACATGGGGAGCAGGTTTGAGAGGATGGACAGGTTGTTCTCTTCTTAATGGAACTTTTCATTTTGCCCCTTCATTGAAATGGGCTTAAACCATGCAGAGAGATGCTACAGACATCATTCAAGAAGCCCATTGTTATTTTAATGAGTCTGCACAAACCCATGCAGGAAATTAGAAGACCCAAGTAATTGAACTGTGGAAAATTATAGCTGGAGAAATTCAGAGTTCTACCATCATAATGGAATTAGTTATTGGCAGTGGCTAAGAGGTCGAAAGTGCACTCTAGAATTGTATATATTGTATATTTATGAGTAATCATCTTTCTTCCCACTGTTACATCTTATTTATTTATTTTATGAGGCAGTGTATTCATTTGAAAATCTAATTTCCTCCCCTAGGAGATTGACTTAATGCCACTACCTTATATTACTGTCATTAACTCAAGGTTACAGTGGTTAACAAGCTGTTTCTAGACAACTGAGCTCTGCTCAGAACTGAAGTGAATTTTACCTCCAGCAATTGTGGAGACTTTACGTTCTAATATGTTAAGAAGTGTCTTTCCTTAGTCTCGCCCACTTTCCCCTTATACTGAGAGGTGGGAGATGAGTCTGCTTTTCTCTTGGCTGGTGTCAGGGTGGTGAAGGCTCTAGAATTTGTCATTGGGGTTGACCAACTATTTATTTCGGTCCTGATCACTGCTGAGTGGGCTGCACCTAGGCTGAGTTTAGAGTCAGTGTAGCAGGTCTTATCATGCAAAGACCCCAAAATTAACTTGAAGCAAGGGTCTTTAGGCTTGAACCAAAATGAAGTTTGTAAAGGCATTTTTCTTTTTTTTGAGTAGTGGTAGAGTTTGAATTCCAGGCCTCATTCTTGTTAGGCAGGGGTTTATTGCTAGAGCTATACCCAAAGTCCTTTTTGCTTTAGTTATTTTCAGGTAGGGTCTCATGTTTCTACACAAGCCAGCCTTGGACTATTACCCTATCTCTGGCCTCCTGAATAGCTGAGAGACCACTGGCTTGCACAGTGGTGCTCAGCTTAAGATGGGGATGGGGTAGGGGAGAAGTAATCTCATGAATATTTTTCCTGGGCTAACCTTGAACAGTCATACTCCAGATGTTCTTTCTAAGTAGCTAGAATTAAAGCTAGAATTAAATTTTGTTTTATTAAAAACAAAACAAAATAGAGCCCCCAAAGTCAATAAAGGTTTATAGCTAGGCAATCCCTCACTCTTTCTCCTGGGCCTAGCAGTGTCTGACAGTACCTGACAGTGTCTGACAGTAAATCCTTTTGGATGCATTCTGTAGGAAGTTCAGCTCTATGGCTCTCTTTTCCCACTTCCTATTCCACTGATGGAGTCTTTGAGTTCACTCCATGTTTTCTACAACATTAACCAGCTTCCTTCAAATTATTTCTCAACATCTAGTGAACATTTATTGGTGACTTGCTTTTGTGCCGGGCACAAAGTTCTACAGAAAATAAAGGGCATAACAGCTCAGTTCTTCATCTCAAGAAGCTTGCAGTTGAGTGAGGTTGGCAGGGGAAAGAGAGTCCAGAATATTGTAGTCAGTGCTGTGAGAATAGCTAAGAGGCACTTTAGAGCTGAGAGCCCACCTGACTGCAGACATGGCAGTGGCACTAGGTTCTCACAACACATATGGTTATGATTCCCTGGCCTAGAAATCTCAGGTTATCAGCCACAGATTGTGGTTGGCCTCTAGCAACTTTGGAATCTAGACCTACCCTGAGATCTAAGGTATTTGAACTTAAGAACCATGAGAGGTAAGAGCTCCCAGAAAGTGGAAGGCCATGGATTCCAAGGAATCCTTCTATTGCAAAGGGCACAACTCCTGCTCACTGGGGCATTTTGCATATTCCCTGTGTCCCAAACACCTTTTGTCATTTGTCTTCCAGGTTGCCAAGAGAGTGATCTTACTATCAGGCACGCCAGCCATGTCCCGGCCATCAGAGCTCTACACGCAGATCGTTGCTGTCAAGCCGACATTCTTCCCTCAGTTTCATGCCTTTGGACTTCGCTACTGTGATGCCAAACGGGTATTCTCTCTTTCCTCCCTTGCCTTGATTGTTCACCCTGATTTTGACATGTGATCTTGTTGCTCCTTCTCTTTGGCTGTGATATGAGCTGAGGATGAAGGGCCGGGAAACTGGACTAAGTTCCAGTTTGCTCCTAACCCTAACTTTGGCATATTTTCAAAGGCAAGATATATTCAGATGCCTCCTAATTTTAATGTCTGTGGTGATTCTAGATTAGCATTGTCTACAAAATGGACCAGCAGATAGTGCAGAGTTGTGTCCAGCTCTGATAGTCATAACCCTGAGCCACTCTTATAGTTCCTCCAGCAGGCAGGGTTGCTGGGGCTGTAGAAGGAAAGTTCACACCAGATGCTGGCCCCTTGAAGGTAATATGGTGGCGAAAGGGAGGTCCTAGGCAGAGTCAGGAAAATATATGAAGAGGCAAGAGTTGCTTGGGAGGAATCTGAAATAAAACTGGGGGAAAAATCCTCTCTACAAAAAAGGCAAAAGATCCCTGGAGCAAGCAGAGTAGAAGCATGATCCAGAGCTTCCCTGGGAGGTTTTTCTGCAGAGCTTTTACTCCTAATGGTGACTCAAGTGTGTCATCCCTGGCTGGAAGGTCTGAAACCTCTGACCCTCACATTCTTACGTGAATGCATTGCCAGTGGAGCAGGAAACCTGTAATAGAAATGTGCTACAGTCAGTATCGCCATTGTAAAAGCCAGACCAGAGTGATTCTTACTTTGTAGCCAAATTACAAATATGTACTCAGTTCTTATTTGCATCAAAGACACTGATAGTGTGGAAAAATGGGAACTATTTTTGGTGCCAGTTCTGGGGCTTGAACGCAGGGCCTGATTGCTGTCCCTGAGCTTCTTTTGCTCAAGGCTAGTGTTCTACATTGAGCCGCTGCTACCTTTGGTAGTTTAATGTAGATAAGAGTCTCATAGACATTCCTGCCTTGGCTGGCTTCAAACCATGATCCTCAGATCTTAACCTCCTTAGTAGCTAAGTTTATAGGCATGAGCCATCAATACCTGGCTTAAAATACTTGTTTTAAAAGAAAAATCCTAGCTGGGTGCTGGTGGCTCACGCCTGTAATGCTACCTACTCAGGAGGCTGAGATCTAAGGATCCCTGTTTAAAGCCAGCACAGGCAGGAAAGTCCGTGAGACTCTTACCTCCAATTAACCACTAGAAAACCGGAAGTGGCTCTGTGGCTCAAGTAGTACAGAGCTGAAGAGCTGAGGGACAGCACCCAGGCCCAGAGTTCAAACCCCACAACTGACCAAAAAAAAAAAAAAAAAAGAAAAATCCTTTATACATTTAATTGGTAAAAGTATTGCAAGAGTCCTGTTTATAGTTATAGTATATATAACACAAACTACAATGATTTCCAAAGTTAATTCCAAACTTTTGTAGTTGATTGTTGATGCAGGAAATTTCTCAATTACTAAATGCATTAAAAAACTGGGGCTGGGAAGGTGGCTCAGTGGTAGAGTGCTTGCCTCACATGCATGAGGCCCTGGGTTCGATTCCTCAGCATATAAGCAGAAAAAGCTGGAAGTGGTGTGGTGGCTCAAATGGTAGAGCGTTGAAGAGCTGAAGAGCTGAGGGACAGCACCTAGTCCTAGAGTTCATGCCCCACAACTGACAAAAAAAAAGAAAAGAAAAGCCTATATTTCTATGGGGAGTGAATATGTGGCCATGCACTTCTCTTCTGGGGGAGGAGCGGTTGAGACAGGGTCTTGGCTGTATGGTTCAGGCTAGCCTGTGACCAACTATGTAGCCCAGATTGGCCTCTGAATGTTTGATCCTCCTGCCTCTACCTCCAGAGTGTTGAAATTAACAGATGTGTGCCAGTGTGCTCAGTTCTCACCACATGCTTCTTTAACACAGTCTGTGACTCATTTTCTCTGTGGTTGGATCTAGACTGAGTTGATTTTGTATAGGTTTCAGGTACGCTTTGTACGTGTGACTTTGTTTACAAATAATGTTTGGATCAGGATTTCTCCCTAAGCTAGTTTATCTCTATAGCTTCAGAGATAAACAGGTCTGAAGGCTGAGTCATTTTCAGTACTCCCTAGGTCATCCCTTCCTTTGTTGTCTGTATCAGGCTCATACTAGAAACTCAGTATATCATTCTTGAATTCTTCCATTCCCCCCTTATCTTCACTCCCTCACCTCCACTTCCAAACACCATTAGTGCTTTTTCCTCCTCACATCCTTTTCCTCAGCCCAGGGTCTGGGACCAGTAAGTTTTCAATGAAAGTTTGTTGGATTGTGATTGTTCCAAAGTCCAGTTTAAAATCATTGGTATTATTTGGCTTTAACCTACAAGATTAAGAGGAAACAATATTAATCTTAGAATGTGATGTCAAATTAATTCTGATACCTTCTTGTGCCCAGCATGCTTTTTTTTTTAATTTCCATCTTCATGCATTAAGAGAAGCTGCTGAAAAGAGTACCCATGCTGAGCTCATTTGCTGCCCAGTGGCTATCTAAAGGAATCTACTGAGAACTTTCCATTGATTTCTGCCTTTTAAATTTTTTTTTAGTTTTAAGTACTCCTACAAAGAGATTTTGATTCAACATGTCAGTTTGTGAGTGCAATGCATCTTGCTCAATGTCACCACTTCTGTCATTCTTCCCCAATTCTCCCAACCCCACCCACCTACCCAGGTTACCACTTTCACATATGTACATTGAATGTTATGGCTGTATTCTCCCACTCTTCCTCTCTCCATTTGTTCCTCCTTTCCTCCCAACTGAAACAAAACATGTTTCAGCTTTCTGGTATTCATTCTGTTAAACTTAGTTATTCAAAAGAGACCATTGGAATCCTAGCTGTATATGCCCTACTGTAGTAATATGTTTGTGTATATATACATACATATGACCCTGTATATGTTTTCATGTTTATAATTTAGATCTGACTTCCACATATGAGTGAAAACATTTGCCCTTTCTGTCTCTGAGCCTGACTTATTTTACTTAACATAATTTTTTCGTAAAAAAAAAAAAACAGCTTTGAGTCATTGTATATCTTCATCTTTGTCTCTTTTGGTTCTCAATTGAGCAAAACTATATGGGACACATTGCCTGCTCCCACTACGATGCTGGGCCCTTGGGTCCTTTAAAGTAAGCAAGCCCAGACCCTCCCTTCAGGCTGCTCATAGTCCAAAGAAATGTGAAGCAGGAGAGACATAAGCAGTTGAAGATGCAAAGCAGGCACTGGTGGCTCAAGTTAGGGGCCACTTAGTGGAGGCTGAGATCTGAGGATTATAGTTTGAAACCATCCTGGGTAGGAAAGTCGATGAGACTCTTTATCCCCAATTAACTGCCAAAAAACTGGAAGTGGAGGTGTGGCACAAGTCCAGAAAAAGCCAAGCGAGAGTGCGAGGATCTGAGTAAAAGCCCCAGAACTGTCACAAAAAGAGAGAAGGGGAAAGAAAAGGGGGAGAGTGGGGAGAGGAGGAGGGGAAGGGAAGAAAAAGAGGAGGAAGAAGAGCAGAGGGAGAGAGTACAAACTAGGCTTCCTGGTTTTCAACTGTGGAAATGAGTCCTGTTTCCTGTAAGCTTGTTGGTCATGGATAGGATTTTTATGTATTTGATTTGTTTGTATAGTATTGTGCTGAATGGAGCCTGGGGCCTCACACATACTAGATGTGCTCAACCACTGAGCTACATCTTCTCTCCCTGCATGACAGGAAATAGGCATTTGAGCTCACTGCTTCCTAGGAGCTGCTGTTTGGGGAAAGCAGGTTGTGAAGGACTGCTAGCCCTCCTGGATGACCTAGTCAAACCAACCCCAACCACCGTTTACCACAGTAACACTGCAGTTGGATTTGATTGGGTTGCTGTGATCCACAATGAGAAATAAATAGTTTTTGTTTTTGCCAGTCCTGGGGCTTGAACTCAGGGCCTGGACACTGTCCCTGAGCTTCTTTTATTCAAGGCTAGTACTCTACACTTGAGCCACAGCACCACTTCTATAAATTTTTCTTTGGGGGGGGGTCCGGTTGTGGGGTCTGAACTCTGGGCCTGTGCGCTGTCCCTCAACTCTTCAGCTCAAGGCTAGCGCTCTACCACTTGAGCCACAGTGCCACTTCCGGCTTTTTTCGTTTTGCTTATGTGATGCTGAGGAATCGAACCCAGGGCCTCAGGCATGCAAGGCAAGCACTCTACCACTGAGCCACCTTCCCAGTCCCCACTTCTATAAATTTTTTTGATCCCCAGAAATCCCATCAAATAAAGATGTTTCTGATGTTGTTTATGAGATAATGTAATGGAGTCTGTAGGATTTACCTTGAGGAGAATTTCTTTCTCTATTTAGTATATAGGAATAGTCTGAAAGCTATTTTTTTATTTTTCAATATATACCTAATCTGAGCTGAGAATGTGGCTTAGTGGTAGAGTGCGTGCCTAGCATGCATGAAGCCCTGGGTTCGATTCCTCAGTACCACATAAATAGAAAAAGCCAGGAGTGCCACTGTGGTTCAAGTGGTAGAATGCAAGCCTTGAGCACAAAGCAGCTCAGGGACAGTGCCCAGGCCCTGAGTTCAAGCCCCAGGACTGGCAAAAAAAAATACATAAAATAAAATAAACATCTAATCTTCTGTCGTTCTGCATTTGCAGCTGGAAAAGTTGATGCCAAACTTTAGGATGCCATGCCGTGTCATTTTTATGATCTTCTGGCTGTTTTTTCCCCACCTTTCTTCCTTTATTTATCTTATCTGGGGCTAATTTCTCCTCATCACCACCTGGGTGGTGATGAGAAAAGCACCCTGCCTGGAGCAAACAGTCTAACGCAATCTCATTTCTCCTCAGTTATCCTGGGGCTGGGACTACTCGGGCTCCTCCAACCTGGGAGAGCTGAAGCTCCTGCTGGAGGAAGCCATCAGGCTGCGCCGCCTCAAATCTGATGTCCTTTCCCAACTGCCTGCCAAACAGCGCAAGATGGTAGTAGTTGCCCCAGGACAGATCAGCGCCAAGGCCAGGGCTGCCCTGGATGCAGCAGCCAAGGAAATGACCACTGACAAAACTGTGAGTTCTGGTCTGGAGACAGGCTGGAAATGGATGCAGACAGGTGTTCCTTTCTGAACAAATCTGTGAAAATGGCCCAGGGTTCTCACCTTGCCTTTCCACACTTGCTGCACCCAGGCAAGAACAGCCAGCCCTTCCTTGATGACTGGTGGCAGATTGTCATAAAAATAACCTCAGGGGAGAAGCAAGATGGTGATATACATGTGTATTCTGACAGAAAGCTGAAATTTATCTTCAGAGTACAATGAGGCTGCCGCAGTATGGTAGCAGTTAAGACCATTAGGGCTCCATCTAGTGGGTACTTAAGTTACCCCTCAGGTCACACCTATGCATTGGTACCAGTCAAGATAACAAATGGACATGGGTCCCAAAGCAGAGTTTTTGAACCCTCTTAAACCTTGGAAATCCTTAAGTCATCTAATAATGGCTGGCAGGAAGTTGGCTGGTCCATTTTACAGAGAGGGAAACCAAGGCTCACAGGATGCTAGGGTGTTATTTCTATTCTACAGTAGAGGCAGGGCTAGAGCCAAGTCTCTTGTCCCTGTAATTTAGGGTTAGGGCTCTTTTTTTTGCGGGGGGGGGGGGGGGGGGTCGGTTGTGGAACCTGAACTCTGGGCCTGGGCACTGTCCCTCAGCTCTTCAGCTCATGGCTAATGCTCTACCACTTGAGCCACAAGTGCCACTTCCGGCTTTTTCTGCTTATGTGGTTCTGAGAAATCGAACCCAGGACCTCATGTATGCAAGGCAAGCACTCTACCACTGAGCCACCTTCCTAGCGCCTTAGGGCTCTTTCTACTTTCACCTTTTCAAAACAGTTATTTTACTATTCCAACTCCATTTGTGTCTCTTAGGGTAATAACCTTCTTGCCCTGGTGTTATTCTCATTGGTCAGGCAATAATCAGATGTTTGCCATTATCACAAAGCATTATTTGAGCCTCATATTATTTATTTCATAAAGAAGCTTAAATATCAATAAGGTCTCAGCTTTGTAGGAGATTGCAAAATAAATAAAAATAACAGGAGACACAATGCATGAAATTTTTGGTGTCATTTTTACCATAAGTAAAACTAGCCCATCACTTTTAAGAAGAAAATGCATTGGTAAATTGTTATACTGTATTTAATTTATACTATATTACATATACTAACCTGGATGATTCCAAGTAAATAGGGAAAGCACAATTTCTTTGCTGTAGACCTTTACTGTGGACCTGTAGAACATTGTTCTTCAACTTCAGCAGAATCATGAAGAGAAGCAAGGTGCTGTTGTAAAAATAGTTCAGTCTTCCTCTTCTGATGGGAGTTAAAATTCCAGTGAATAGAAATTTTCATCTCAATTTAAATTTTTTTCTTATCATTTTTTCCTAAACTTTTAATATCTGCTGACTTCTGTCCAATAGTGAATAGCACCGGACAAGAACTGATGAATAAGGACCAAATATAAAGAATGATAGTAGTGGCTGAGGATGTAGCTCAGTGACAGAATACTTGCCTAGCTAGCATGTGCTTGGGGATAGGGAACCAGTATCATAATGTCAAGATTGGACTCGATACTTGTAGGCATTCCTTCCAGACTCTGACCAGCTAGGAAATCCTGAGTTCAAAGTTAAATGGAGAATTGTGGTTTTATGGTTTTAGTCAAATAAGAAATCCATCTTGCTATAGTTAATAATTAATTTTTAGCCCAAAGTTTCTCTTTTTTGTATATCATGGCAGCTCCACCAAGCACTGCTGACCTGCCTGTCAAGAAATGATTCTTTGTACCTTTCCATTTAAAAAAAAAGAAGAAGAAGCTTTAGGAGAGGGACAGGTATGAGAGGTGGGAACACAGAGTGTGGGGTGAAGCTTTAAATCATAAAAAGGTAGCCAGTTTACAATCTAGGTTATAATGAAGGCTTTTTCTCATTTTTTTCAGCTGAAATAATAGGTCTCTCTTCAAAGGCTAAGGAAAGGCTGTCTGTAATTGTCTTTTTGTCTAAAGCAGTTTTTGATCAGCAAGAGCAGGATCATGTCCACCCAGACCTCCTGGTGACAGAGTCAGTTTACTTATGACATCTGACATTCCATTTTAAAAAAAAGTTTAAAAACTCCAATACATCTAATTTAACCAAAGTCTAGGAAGCAGGAACAAAGAATACAGGCTATTTAAAATTTTCTTGCTCACAGCTAAAAAAAAAAAGTGGGGGGGAGAGATCATTAATATGTGATATCTACCCAACTTGGAAAGTTTTCCCTTTCTTTTTAAGATAACACTATTACAGTTTCTCCTACATTAAAAATCCATAGGTTTGGGGATATAGGGCAGTGGGAGAACACCTGCTTAGCAGGTTGAGAACCTTGGGTTTGGTCCTCAGCATTTCCGAAACAGAGAAAGAAAGAAAGAAAAAGTAGTTGCTTATAATGCAGTAGATATCTATTCTATAAAATCTAAAAAATAAATAGGTCTGGTGCAGGGGCTCCTACCTGTAAGTTTTGCTCTTCAGAAGGCGGAGTGATCAGGGAGGATCACAGTTCATGGTCAGGGCAAGCAAAAAGTTAACAGTACTCTGTCCCACAACAAGCCTGGCATGGTAGTGTACCCCTGAAATCCAAGACACTGCAGAGGGTTAGATAGGATCCCTGGCAAAAACATGATACTGTCTGAAAAGTAATTTGAATTTAGGGCTGACAGTGTGGCTCAAGTGGTAGAGCACCTGTCCAACAAACAGGAAGACTTTGTATCCAATTTTCAGAGAAAAAAGGAGAGGTACTTACAGTAAGGAACCATTGAGTACTTGCTACATGCTGGGAATGATGCTTTATGTATTTCAGTTATTTAACTCTCACCATCTGGGTCTAATCCCATATACTTGAGCTCCCAAGACCACATTGATTTCTGGTTCTGTCAGGTGTTGGTGGCTCACACTTGTAATCCTAGCTCCTCAGGAGGCTGAGCTCTGAGGATTGAGGTTTGAAACCAGCAAGAGAGGAAAGTCCATAAGACTTTTACCTTAACCATTAATCAGCCAGAAATGGAGCTGGGGCTCAAGTGGTAGACCTCTAGCTTTGAACAACAAGCTAAGAGACTGCCTAGGTCCTGAGTTTTAAGCCCAAGTAACACATGTGTATACACACACCCACACAGACACACAGACACACACACACACACAGGGCTGGGGGGGGGAGAAAAATTCTAGTTCTGCCTTTAGAAACAGTGTGGCATCAGCTTATGTGTCTTTTTTACTTTCATTTTTCCATGTCTGCAAATGGAGATGAGATCATTGTGCCGTCTTCAAAGCCATCTTCATTACTGAGTTAGAACTCAGTACATAGCCTTTACACACTGCAGCTAATAGCATTAGCTGTTATTTTTATTTCTTTACTACAAAAAAATAATTATCTTTGCAACCACATAATTTAGAATACAGCATTTGGGTGTTTTTCTAAAATGCTTGTATATGTGTATTTTGCTTTAAATGTCTATAATTTCTCTATAAAATATGTCTTATATGACTATATATAAATATTCCAACATATTTGCATATACCTATAATGCATATTTATGTGTAAAACATATCACTCAGTAAAACCATGTTCTATTATATGCAAAATGCATGCAAACAGTGTCTGCATTTCAAGAGAAGAATTGGGACCATGCAAATATGGAAACCAGTGACAGACTGTTGTGAATACCTGTCCATGTTATTAAGTGTTCTTCAAACCCAATGTCTTAGTGTTTGCTCACATGGCAGTGTTAGAACTTTGCCTTCCACTTATTTAGTTGGATCTTGAAGTTATCATCACTCCCTCTCTCCCCTGAGTAACACCACACTGACAGAGTAGCTTGTGTATAGATTTGTGCACATATAATTCTAGCTCATGAATAAATTCTTAAAGAGTAAATTCTGAATCCCAGGGGGATGAAATGCTTTCCAGAAGAGCTTTCATGATCCTTGTCTCCTTAGATCCATGCAGCTGTTATGGGAATGACTGAGGATCTGGAATGTTGGCTCTAGAGAGAAAACCAGAGCAGTTCCTCTCACCTGGGCAAAGCGAGCAGATAGGTCAAGTGTCAGTGCTAGGGTCTCCCCATAAACTGGTGGCTGTTGGGAAGCTCAGGGTAGCCACAGTTGAGTCAGCTTGTCACAGAGTTCTCACAGGACACCTTTCAGCTCTCTTCCTCTTTCAATAAAAACAGCAGCAGAAAGAAGCCCTCATTGTCTTCTTCAACAGAACTGCTGAAGCCAAAGTCCCATGTGTCATGTGAGTACTTACCAAGTATCCACCTGTGATTCTCTCTCTCTTGTCTCTGTTACCCCTATCAGTCTGCCAGAATCATTTTACTGCTCTGAGAGTTGACTCGCAGGCTGGAGCTGTGCTCAAGTAGTAGAATGCTAGCCAAACAAGGAAACTGAGCAACTTCAGGGCCCTGAATTCAAACTCTGGTGCTGGCTGGAAAAAAAAAAAAAAGGAATTAAGTAGAGTTTAGAATTATAGCTGCTTTGAAAATCAGTTTAGTCTCCATGAACTCAGCATCTACCATACATAATCACCCTGTTACTGGAGCCACGCCTGGGCTGTAGTTGGAGTCTAACAAGCCTTTCTCAACCCAAGAGGGTAGAGGGGTTAGATATAATGGTAAGCACCTGTAATCTCAGCTACTTAGGAGGCAAAAATAATAGGACTATGGCCAAGTACTGAAGGCTCACATCCTTAATCCTAGCTACCCAGGAGGCTGAGATCTGAAGATTGTGATTCAAAGCCAGCCCGGGCAGAAGCGTCCCCATGAGACTCATATCTTCAACCAGAAAACCGAAAGCGGAGCTGTGGCTCAAAGTAGTAGGGTGCTAGCTTTGAATGAAAAAGCTCAGGGACACCACCTAGGCCCGTGAGTTCAAGCCCCACAACTGACAAATAAATAAATAAATGAATGAATGAATGAATGAATAAGAGGACTGTGGTTAGAAGCTTGCCTCAACAAAAGTCCCTGTCTCAAAAATTAGTTGGGTTTGATGCACATGCCTGAGGATCTCAACTTGTAGGGAAGTTCAGACAGGAGGATTGAGGTCTGAGGCCAGCCCAGGAAAAAACATGAAACTTGCTCTGAAAAAAAAATGAAATAGGAAAAATAAAAGGATGCAGCTTGACTGACTCCCCAGCAAAGTTTTCCCTGGCTTGGGGAACTGTGGTCACCTGCCTTTAAGAAAGAAATTAAAAAGAGAAGCTGCTTTTGAGGATACTCTCTGCCTCTCTCCAGCGACATGAGATTTCAGCCATTACTTACCTAATTTTTTTTAAAGTGGGCTATTGTCACATTTAGTTCTCTTTTTCACCATATAAACTAAAGCTGAAGAAATAATTGCTGTTCTAGTTTTACTGATTTTAAATATCCACAATTGCTGCCTTTCTTAAAGAAAAACCCACTCATGTTCCAGTATCACTGTGGTCGGAACTTCAGGCGACCCTAATGGTAGACAGTAGGCATTATTTTTTTTTAATTGTCTTTACATTTGTATGAGGCTCTGGTGGGATTATGGTTCAAGTGATTGATTCATAATGAAAATAAATTTGGTGTGGGCTGAGAGGTGCCAGACTGGCTATGGAGAGAGATCTATGGGTAAACTGACAAACACGTGGCCTGCCCTGCCCTGCCCTCCCACTAGGCCCTTGGATCCCCTTGCCCACCAGCCTGGCCCTGCCACCTTTACTGCTACACTCAGGTCCACATGCCCCAAGAGAGACTGCTGACTGTCAGCCTGCTCTCCTTTACTCTCTAGGCAGGGCCCTTTTCATTCATAAGACTGTTGTGGGACTTGTGAACTCCAGATGTGGCTTTTATGACCTGGAAACTTCTCGTAGAAACGAATCTGAATTGCCCTTGCCAATGCATTCCTCACCTGCTGCTAAGTAACAGATGGCAGGAGGTTGTTCTTTGCGTTGCTCCTTCAGCCCAAGACCTACAAAATTCAGGGTCCATGGGGCTATCTATGTCTTTGGGTGTTGAATCAACAAGCACACATTGCCCTTAGAATTTTAAGCTAACCTTTTGTTTTTTGTTGTCTAGTTGTGGTTTTTGTTTTTTTGTTTTTGTTTTTTTTTTACAGTGCTGAGGATGAGACCTTGGGCTCCATATGTGCTAGGCAAGTGCTCTACCATTGAGCTGAATTCCCAGGACTTAAGGCTAGGCATTTTACCATCTCATAAATAAACTTTGGTCATACATCATACATACTTTTTCAAAGTTGTATGGTAAATTATATAGTTCTTTGCAGTTTCTAAGCAATTTTTAGCTCTATTTATTTTTTGAGTGTGCCAGCACCAGGGCTTGAACTCAGGGCTTCTTGCTTTTGCTTAGCTTTTTTGATCAAGGCTGGCACTCTGTCACTTTGAACCATACCTCCACTTCCAGATTTTTATTGTCTGATTGGTAGGTAAGAATCTCATGGACTTCACTGCCTGAATTGGCTTTGAACTGCAATCCTCAGATCTCAGCTTGCTTGCTTGCTTGCTTGCTTGCTTGCTTGCTTTCTCTCTCTGTCTCTGTCTCTGTCTCTCCCTCCCTCCCCCTTCCTTCCTTCCTTCCTTCCTTCCTTCCGTTTTCTTTCTTTCTTGCTTTCTTTCTTTCTTGCTTTCTTTCTTTCTTTCTTTCTTTCGTTCCTTCTTTCTTTCCTTCTTTCTTTCGTCATGGGGCTTGAACTCTGAGCCTAGGTGCTGTCCCTCAGCTCTTCAGCTCAAGGCAAGTGCTCTACCACTTGAGCCATAGCTCCACTTCCAGTTTTCTAGTGGTCTATTGGAGATAAGAGTCTCATGGACTTTCCTGCCTGGGCTGGCTTTGAACTGCGATCCTATGATCTCAGGCTCCTGAGTAGCTAGGATTACAGGCGTGCACCACCAGCACCCAGCCATGGGCATCTTTTAATATAATAGGACAGTTACTATGGTAGGCAAGTGCTTCCAGCCTGGTAATTGAGGGACTTGTAATGGGTAGAACGGTGAAGCTGTGTCAGATGGAGAGGGAAAAGAGGCATTACGAAAACTGGGACTAGAGGTCACCAAATTAATTTTTTTTGTGGCCCTGTGACTTTTTGATGCTGTAGCAATAACCTTTTTTATTTATATCATGGCAAATTTTATAGTTCGCAAAATAATTAATGTGGTTTTATTAGTACAACAGTTCACAAATTGATCTCAAATCTGGTACCTTCCATCCACCATAGTGTTGTTTAAAAACAACTCTTAGAGGACAGTCCACTTAATTCTCCAACCCCCTACGTATAACAGGAAGCTGTTGAGATTTGTTTGTAAAGGAAGGCTGCAATATTCTTTGTGAAGACTGCCATATCTGGGGATGACCTCAGGTTGGGGGACAGGCAGGGAAGCTCTTATGATTAGGGACGGGAGCCGAAGTTACCTGCACAGGCTCACCTCTTCCCTGGGGTTATGAACCTCTACAGGGTGCTAATCTATGGGGAACAGCAGGGTCGGTTAGCTGGGTCACTCATACCACTCACACTATAGCTCCACCAGGAATGAGGCCTTTTGAGGGCTTGCAGATAAGAAGTGTGATGTTAAGAAACAAGGCAGGGAAGTGGTTCTGTGGCTCAAGTGGTAGAGCACTAGCCTTAAGCTAAAGAGCTGAGGGACAATGCCGAGGCCCAGAGTTCAGGCCCCATGACCAACAAAAAATAGCCTGGGAACATGGTTGAGTGGTAGAGTGCTCACCTACCATGCCCAAATCCTAGGTTTGATTCCTCAGTTCCACATAAACAAAAAAGCCAGAAGTGGAGCCATAGCTCAAGTGGTAGAGCAGTAGCCTTAAGCAAAAGAAGCTCAGGGACAGTGCCTGGAGCCAGAGTTCAAGTCCCAGAACTGGCAAAAGAAAAAAAGAAAAACGGGGGGCTGGGAAGGTGGCTCAGTGCTAAGAGTGCTTGTCTTGCATGCATGAGGCCGAGTTTGATTCCTTAGCACCACATAAGCAGAAAAAGCTGCAAGTGGTACTATGGCTTAAGTGGTAGAGTGCTAGCCTTGAGCTGAAGAGCTGAGGGACAGCGCCCAGGCCCAGAGTTCTGGCCCCATGACTGGCAAAAAAAAGAAAAAGAAAAACAGGGGAAAAAAAGAAGACAGTGGCTGGGTGTATATCAAACAATCAAGGTTTGAAGGCAGCCTTGGCAAATATGTCTGTGACGCTCTGTCTACAGTTAGTCAGCAAAATGCTAGAAGTGGTAGAGCGTCAGCCTTGAGTGAAAAAGCTAAACAAGAACAAGAGGTCCTGAGTTCAAGCCCCAGTACCAGCATAAAACAAAAACAAAAAACAGTGAGTGGAGGAGAGAAATAAAGGGAAATTTTAAGCAAGTGAGATCCTTTTTTACCGTATTCGTTTGCCTTGGAAAAGAATTCAGTCACCACTGTCTTAACTGTGGGCTGTGTTTTCTGAATTCTGAGTAGGAGGAAAAATAGAACCAAAGAGCCTTCTCCGAATATCTCTTCAGTATCGTTATTATATTTTTCATTATTATTATTACTGTTATTATTTGGTGGTGGTTTGTGGATTGTACTCAGGGCCTAACCTCATGCTTGTTAGGCAGATACTGTACCATTTGAGCCATGCCTCAGTCCCTTTTTGTGTTTTTTATTTCTAAGATAGGGCCTTGTTTTATGTGCAAGCCAGCCTGGGCTGTGTTCCTACTCTTTTGCTTTCCCTCACTGTTGGGGGTGACAGGTGTATACTACAGTGCCTAACGGTTGAGATGGAACCTCCCAAACTTGCTTTTTTGCCCAAGGTGACCTTGAACTACAATCCCTCCATCTTCACCTCCCAAGTAGCTAGAACTCCACACTTAAGCCACTGCACAAGAGTCACTTATTTCTTAATATTAAGCTTCTAGAAATTTGCGAACTGTTAAAAATCCCTTAATGCCCTGCCTGTGTGTTCCAGGACTATAAAGACATTTCAGTTTGTATGGAAAACAGATGAACATCCAAAGTTAACAAGTTAGCAACCAAAGTGAGAATTGTTGGTGACCTTCTCTGATCCAATTAAGAAGACTGTTTCAATAACATATCATAGACACATAAAACATTAAGGATACTTCAATATACTTGTGTAGGCGAGATGACTGAAAAGTATAGAAGTCTTTCTGCACATGGCAGAAGATGGCTTCTCAGCAGCTTCTCATTTTGTTTCTTGTCCACATGACCTGGTGTGAGGAAAAAGGGGAGCATTCCTCTCCTAGAGAAGGGAGTGGATAAGCTTGGGAGTACAGTTGATCTTGAAGGGTCTGCTGTCCATGTAGAAACTTTTCAGTGATTAACCTCAACTAGATGAGCATATGTTTAATCCATTTTATTTTGTTGTCCATGCAGTGAATATATCCTAGACCTTCTGGAAAGTGGAAGAGAGAAGTTTCTAGTGTTTACACATCATAAGGTGGTTCTGGATGCAGTTACAAATGAACTTGAGAGAAAGGTAAGCTTCCTTTGACTTTGAACCACTGGGTCTTGAGTGAATTTCAGGGTGCTTTTACTGCTTTTTTGTTGTTTTTTTATGGTCAGGGATAAGCTGGTAAAGGAAGTGATGCTTCCCAGACCCACAGCTGATGACCTTCTGAAGAAGAGTCCTTGCTTGTTGGACAAGTGGGCACAGTTAGTTCCCCACAGGGAATATTTCAATTACCCTGTGCCCTAGATAGACATCCACAGCATTTTGCTTTAGGGCTGTCTCCAGGGACTCTTCCACTATTCTTCACTTATAATACAAAACCTCCAGAAAGGAAGGAACAAACGTCCTCTTTGGGGCAAACAAGTGTTTGTATGCATGTCTTCTGGTCTTCTTTCTTTTGTTTCTCTTTACTATTATTTTTTATTAATTATACATAGCAGTGTGCAGACCAAAGTACACAGGAAAATCCACAAGGATCTCTAAGGGTGTTTGTTAAAACTTTACTTTCACTCTTGGTTAAAGTTTAGGACCATGTATTTCCTGTTGTCTTCCTTCATCCTTTGCAGTGATGTTACATTAAACACACAAACTCAGGTACATACACAGCACCTATGTATCTTACACTCAGACTGAATAAATCTAAAGTTTCACTGTATTAATTTCAAGGCTTTTTTTTCCACTACCATATGGAGATACTATTATTTATCCACTCATCAATAAGGCTATTTGAGTTGATTCCACGCTTTGTAAATATGAATAATACTACCATACTTTGGTTGCTAACTATATTGCTGAACTTTAAACTGAGGAATGGAAGTCCGTGTTGAATTATTGAGGAAATGTGGTCAGCTAATACATTAGTATTGTCAATCATTTAAATTTATTGTTATATGTTTTGTGGCCTAATAACATTGACATTCAATATGTTCTTGAGAACAATGTATAATCTACTTTTATTGGGTTTAGAATTCCATAAAATTTGTTTTATGTAGTTGGTTTAGAATGATTTCCGAATCTTTTATTTCCTGTTGATCTTCTGTTTAAGTATTCCATCCATTAGCACAAATAAAATACTTAAGTCTTTGACTACTCCCTCTCTCCTTCCATTATCTCTCTGCCCTTCAATTTTATCAGATTTTGCTTCATGTATTTTTTAATTATAAATGAGTTTATACTAATGTCTCCTTTTTTTCTTTTTTGGGGATTAGTACCAGTTAGTTGAACCAAGGTGTTTCATTTTAACATGTATATATATCGATACAGGTATCTATTAGTTACCTCCTCCATTCTTCTCTCTCTTCCTTTATCTCCCTTCTCAAACCAGTCTCAAGTTTCTTTGTTCTGTTTTCATGTTCATAGATTATTAGGCTTGTTTTCATCCTCCTTCCTCCTTATCTGTTCATCCATTGCATTTAGCCCTACTGCTACATCCCAACCCAGACATGTGAATAAAGGGAATGATCCATGAAGAGGAAATTACAGTTGTCAACATGTATGCATCAAATAGTAGGATACTCACATTAAACTAACACTGACTTACAAATATTGAGAGATCCCAGCACAGTAATAATGAGAGACTTCAACACCCCATTCTCATCAGATATATCATTCAAATAAAAGATCAGCAAATCGCAAAGTTAGACGATACCATAGACCAACAGACATCTACAGAGTATTTCATTCAGTAGCTGCACAGTACACATTCTTCTTAGCAACCCATGGAATTTTCTCTAAAATAGATCTTATCCTAAGGCATGCAGCAAGTCTAAACAAATATAAAGGGCTGGGAAGATGGCTCAGTGGTAGAGTGCTTGCCTTGTATGCATGAGGCCTTGGGTTCAATTCCTCAGCACCACATAAGCAGAAAGAAAAAAGCCGGAAGTGGCGCTGTGGCTCAAGTGGTAGAGTGCTAGCCTCGAGCTGAAGAGGTGAAGGACAGTGCCCAGGCCCAGAGTTCAGGTCCTACAACCAGACCCCTGAAAAAAAATAAATATAGAAAGAAATTTTTTAAACTCCTTTAAAACTATATAAAATATAGTCTAAACTAATATAGACATGGTCATTCAATGGAGAATGATTTCCTAAGCATATAAACAAAGTTATAAAAAGACATTTATTGAAGGGCTGGGAAGGTGGCTCAGTGGTAGAGCGCTTGCCTTGCATGCCCGAGGCCCTGGGTTCGATTCCTCAGCACCACATACGCAAAAAAGAAAAAAGCCAGAACTGGCGCTATGGCTCAAGTGGTAGAGTGCTAGCCTTGAGCTGAAGAGCTGAGGGACAGTGCCCAGGCCCTGAGTTCAGGCCCCACAACCGGACCCCACCTCCCAAAAAAAAAAAAGAAGACATTGATTGAGATAATGTAAAAAACATATGGATTTACTCATAGTTGTTGTGTATACTTGGTATATTTGTACATTTGTCAATAACAATAAAAACTCACTTTTCCAAACTCTCCTTTTTAGGAATTTATCCTAAGAAAATAAATGATCAGACTAGTGAACAAAGATTTATTTATAAGGATATTATATATAAGGATATATGTCATTCTGTTAATATTTAGAAACTTAAAAGGTTATCAGCAAATGTCCCATTAAATAAATTGCAGTATATATAGCCATAAAAAAACCATCACAGGGGCTGGGAAGGTGGCTCAGTGGTAGAGTGCTTGCCTTGCATGCCTGAGGCCCTGGGTTCGATTCCTCAGCACCACATAAACAGAAAGCCAGAAGTTGGGTTGTGGCTCAAGTGACAAAAAGTTTAGGGACATCATCTATGCCCTGGATTTAAGGGGTGTGTGTGTGTGTGTGTGTGTGTGTGTGTGTGTGTCTGTGTGTGTGTGTGTCTGTGTGTCTGTGTCTGTGCGTCTGTGTCTGTGTCTGTGTGTCTGTATGTCTGTGTGTCTGTATATTTGGAGACTAGATAGAAGCATCTTTATTACCATGTAGAGGAAAAAACCTGAATAATATATAACAAAATTTTAATGTTGATTATAAGTTGTTTATATTACCTTCTTTAGTTTTTCTACACATAAAAAAGACATACCTAGGTATGACTTATTCTTTCAGATCTCTGCTATTTAGTTATATTTTTGAATAGCTTGCAGTAGTCACGATAGGGGAAGGTATTTCCATATATGTTTGCTATGTATTTCTAATCAATCTCACCCCTCTATCACTTCCTGCCCCCTTCCCTTCCTCCTTCCCAAATAACAGCAGTAGGTTTCATTATTCTATTTCCCTAGTTGCAAACAATCTTATTTCACCAGCCAGGGTAGAAAAATCTGTAAGACTCTTATTTACAGTTAACCACTCAAAAATAGCTGGAAGTGACTCAAATAGTAGAGCAATAGTTCCTTGTGCACAAAAGCTCAGGGACAATGCCCGGGCCCTGAGTACAGGCCCCAGGAATGGAACAACAACAACAACAACAAAATCTTGAAGAGGAAGAGGAGGAGGAAAATAATGTTAAAAAAAAAAGTTTGGGGGCTAGGAAGGTGGGTAGAGCACTTGCCTTGCATGCATGAGGCCCTGGGTTTGATTCCTCAGCACCACATAAGCAAAAAGAAAAAAGCCGGAAGTGGTGCTGTGGCTCAAGTGGTGGAGCGCTAGCCTTGAGCTGAAGAGCTGAGGGAGAGCGCCCAGACCCAGAGTTCAGGTCCCATGACCGGACCTCCCTCCCCCCCCCCAAAAAAAAAAGTTTGACCCAGTCTTACTATCTTAGAGTCCAGTTTAGCCCCATTCTCCTGCCTCAGCCTCCCTAGTACTGGGATTACAAATGTGCATCACCACATCTAGCAACAAGATAATTTTTTTGCCCCATCAAAAGCAAGATGTAAAAATGTGATGCAGGCTGGTAATGTGGCTTAGTGGTAGAGTGCTTGCCTAGCATGCATAAAGCTCTGGGTTTCATTCCTCAATACCACATTAACAGAAAAAGCCAGAAGTGGTGCTGTGGCTCAAGTGGTAGAGTGCTGACCTTGACCAAAAGCTTAGGGACAGTGCCCAGGCCCTGAGTACAATCCCCAGGACTGGCAAAAAAAAAAAATGTGTGTGATGCTCACTGTTGATAAGAGTGCACCAAGATAACATGCTCACACTTTATGTTGGAAAGTCGACCAATGATATCAAGGAGCCTTAAATTAGGTTTTTCCCTTTTGCCTTGGTACTTGGATTGGTTTTAGGGCAGGGGAGATGTTTTATTTTGGGGGGAGGGTGACGGTGGTTTAAGACTAGGCCTTGCTAAGTAGTCCAGACAGGCCTTGAACTTTTCAATCCACTGTCCCCAGCCTCCTGAATGCTAGGATTACAAGAATGAGTCACCATGTCTACCATCATTGTAATGTGATACACTGCACATAAACACAGAATTTGATAAGAGGATATAGAGTATCTCCATCAACCTATTTCCTCAGTCCCCTGTCATCACCCTTTTCTCTGAGATACCTTCAGCTTCCACTGATCACTTTTCACTGGGTTAGTTTGCATTTTTTTTTTTACAGTTTTATGTAACTGTGTAATCCAAGTATATGTTTATTTGGGGGATCTAGTTTGTTTCAATGTTTTTTGGGATTCATCCTTATTGTGTGTGTTATCAGTCTATTCTTTTTTTTGCTGAGTAATATTCCATTGTATACATGCACTATATGTTTTTGTATATAGTCACATGTGAATGGATGTCTGCCAACCCTTCCTTTGAGGGAAAAACTGGAAACCCTCTAAAACAGCAGAAATAGAAAAACAGTTATACTATTGACACATAATAAATTAGAACCAGTAAAAACAAAACTTGGGAAACTTGCTAGTAGCTTAGTCAAAATATGATATTTGTTGTAAAAAAACTGGCAATAAAAATTTTAATTTGACTGGGTAGGTGGCTCAGTGGTAGAGTGCTAGTCTTGAGCTGAAATGCTGAGGGACAGTGCCCAGGTGCAGAGTTCAGGCCCCATAACTGACAAATAATAATAATAATAATTTAAACTATGTGCCATAAACACTGAGAAAAGAAGGACAGAAAATAAAATTGTTATGTTTACTATTTGTTTTCCTTCTAGTGTTTTACCATTTGAAAGGGTGAATGAAAATGTTCCTTAACATAGCTAAGCTGAACATATAGTTACATACAATCCAGCTTCTTGGGTATTTATCTGATAGAAAGGAAAATTTAATGCTCACACAATAGTCTGATCATGACCATTCCTGAATTTTTTTTTTTTTTTGGTCGGTTGTGGACTTGGACTCTGGGTCTGGGCGCTGTCCTCAGCTCTTCAGCTCAAGGCTAGTGCTCTCCCACATCGGCCACAGTACCACTTCCGGTTTTCTGGTGGTTAATAGGATGTTCCTGCCTTGGGCTGGCTTTGAACTTCGATCCTCAGATCTCAGCCTCCTGAAGAGCTAGGATTACAGATGTGAGCCACTGGTGCCCAGCCCCAAGCGTCTTTATATGTAGTGCCCCAAACTATATCAGCTCAGATGTCCTTCAGTAGATAAGACATTAAATTATGTACATACACATAAGTGGATTCTCATCCTTGATAACAAAGAGATCACTGATTTACTCAATGGCTCTGTGAATCCCCACAAAATAATACTGACCAAGCTGGGAAGGTGGCTCAGTGGTAGAGCGCTTGCTTTGCATGCATGAGGCCCTGTATTTGATTCCTCAGCACCACATAAACAAAAAGGAAAAAGCCGGAAGTGGAGCTGTGGCTCAAGTGGTAGAGCGCTAGCCTTGAGCTGAAGAGCTGAGGGACAGCGCCCAGGGCCAGAGTTCAGGCCCCACGACCGAACCCAAAAAAAATTTAAAAAATAAAAAATAAAAATAATAATACTGACCAAAAAAAGTCCTTCCCCTTCTTCCCCCCCCCCCACCCAAATTACCCATTGCATGATCACCTTTGCATAGCATTCAGGAAATGAAACATTTTAGAAATGCAGAACCAGTTAGTGGCAGAGGTTAAGGACAGTGGAGAAAGAATTACAGAAGGATCCTTGACTGTGGAGATGAGTACATGAAAAGTTTACTTAAGTAATAAAAATGTGTAGAGCACACATGCATTCAGGAAGAGAAATCTGAAGGTCAGGAGGTTGTATCAAAGTCAGTCCAGGTTGATGTCATACTGTTCCAGGAAACCTGAGCGCTGTGTACAAAAGATCTCTGAGTTATTTTTTAAGGTGGTATGTGAGTATGCAGTTGTGTTTAAGAGCAGAGGGCCAGACAGTCTCTGGGACCCTGCTGAGCGGGCTTGCTCTTCAGCCTCTGGCACCACAGCATTGTAGCCGGCCTGAGTTTCCCCTGTCCCTGCAGCACGTACAGCAAATCCTCATCGATGGCTCCACACCCTCAGCCGACGGAGAAAAGCTGTGCCAGCGGTTCCAGCTGTCTGAGGGACACTCAGTGGCAGTGCTGTCTATCACTGCCGCCAACATGGGCCTCACTTTCTCCTCAGCTGACCTAGTGCTGTTTGCCGAGCTCTTTTGGAACCCAGGGGTAAGGGGTACAGAGACTAGAATCTCCCTGGGCATGCTTGTTTCTGGGGGAGTAAGGGAGATGGGTCTGCAAGCTTTCCCCAGTCCAGTTCCATTGACACTTTTTACTTCTTTCAAGTACTGCTTCTTAGGTCTTCATGGTATTCTGCAGGAGTGGCGGCTCCACGTTATCAATGGTAAAATCAGAGTTGTAAAGGAGCCCTAGATGTCATCTCTATGAGGAGACTGGGAACAGAGAGTTGAGGTGGTCAGCCGGCACAGCAGAGTTGAACCTTTAGGGGCGCATGCAACAGCATTGGGTTGCAGCCTACTGGGTTCCAGCCAGTGCTCCTTTTTATTAGCCATCTCTGTGAGCTGCTCAGCCAAGGGGTCCTCACACAGAATGACCGTGCTCAGTGTTCCCTGGATGTCATGAACCACTTCCCTTACTGATCACAGCCAGACTGAAGGCTGTCACACAGCTGTAGGGCATTTGTTTGAACTCATAAAATTTTCTTCTTAAACTTCAGAAAATGAGGCATTTCCCTCTGATGCTCTTGATATGTGGCTTCTACTGGCCAGACTTCAATGAGTGCTTTAACAATAGGTGGACTTCAAGGTCACAGATGTCAAGAAAAGAAACAGTTCTCTTGATTTTAGTTACTTATTCTGCAGTATATACCATATGAAAATACCATCCCACCTCTAGCCATATATGGTCTCTTTCCTGGATATTATCTTTCTGGTTCTTTAGAAGATAACATTGACTATCCCAAAGACAAGAAATGCAAATGTGGACTGGGAGTATGGCTCAGTGATAAAGTACATACTTAGCATGTGCTAAACCATGGGTTTAATTTTCAACACTGCAAAAAATAAGAAGTGTTAGAGTCGGGGTAAAGATATCAAGCAGTGGTAGAGTGCTTGCTTAGCATATAGGAAAAAAAGAAGGAAAAGAAAAGAAAAGGAAGAGATAAAAAGACATGGAACTGGGTGCTGTTGGCTCATATGTGTAATCCTAGCTACTCAGGAGACTGAGATCTGAGGATCATGGTTTGAAGCCAGCCCAGGCAAGAAAGTCTATGAGACTCTTATCACCAACTAACCACAAGAAAACTGGAAGTGGAGCTGTGGCTCAAAGTGATAGAGTGCTAGTCTTGAGCCTGAAAGCTAGGGACAGTGCTCAGGCCCTGAGTTCAAGCCCTACAACTGACAAAGTAGGGGATGGGGAGAGAAAGAGATGGAGATATGCCAGGTTACCCTAATTTCCTCAGCACACAGCCTGATGGTGGAGCCTGCACATTTTTCACTGCAGCACCCAGCACCTCCACAGGGTCCTTTCCAATTCCAGGTCCCCCACCAAGGTTTGACTGTCCTTAAATGTCAGGTCTGAGAGATAGTGAAATGCTGTGAGGAGGAAGGGCTGAAGTAGAGCTGAGAGACCAGAGGCTACATGCTATGATTAGGCCGGGGGGGGGTGAGGGAAGGAAAGGCTGCTTCAGGCCCTCTCCCTAGCTGTCTTGATCCCTGGGCACACAGGTGCTGATCCAGGCTGAGGACCGAGTGCACCGCATTGGACAGACAAGCTCCGTGGGCATTCACTACTTGGTTGCAAAAGGCACAGCGGATGACTACCTTTGGTATGCCTAGCTGGACAGCTGTATGTGGAGTTGACCGAGGGTGGACACTGTTTTCTGAGCTCTGGAAGTGCTTCCACTTTTGCTGAGACCTTCAGAAACCCATTAGTCATGGCACCACAGCATGACTATGTTGGAGCTGTGACACTGGCATTCTTTGGGGACTTGCAAGGTGCAGGAGAAGGTCCTGTGGGACCAAGGGGAGGTAGCTGCTCTCCCACCTGCTCAAGAAGGAGAAGAGCACAATAGGAACTGGTTGTAACAATGTAGATGGTTTAGTTTATAAATCAGTCTGTTCCCAGCCATGAAGACAGTTGTTAGGATAAGCATCCCTTTTCTCTTTTATGATGTGTGGGATGATCGCTGCATCTGTCATCTACATCTGCTGCTGCTGGATGCAAAGACAGACAGGCTCACTCTGGACCATGCAGTGTTCTATTAGAAGGGCTGAGATCACGTGTTTGGCCCCAATGTTTTGTGTCTGTCAACTAAGCAAAAAAAACCCCCAGTACTCTTTCCCAGTCCCATTTCTTTGTTCCTGATCTTAAGTCTCTGAGTTATCTCCTTAGTGTCCACTAACCCCTTTGTCCAGCCTCAATGACCAAGGTGTATGACCTCTGCAGTGCACATGGGCCACTCACTTCTCTGTGTTCAGTGGGCTGGTTCATTGCACAGCTCATAGCACCATCAGACTCACAAAATTCCTATAGTGAGGCAGTGTTTATTTCCTGAACATCTTCCATTAGGAAGAATATTGAACCAGTTCTGATGAGTCCTAAGGTGGAGGTTGGTTACAACTGAGAGGGGCACATATTTCAGGGTAGATCCCGAAGCCTTGTAAGATGCAAAGATGGGAACCACTTACCACCTCGCCGTCCCCTAAGGAAGAGCAGGATGGCTTCATTCTAATCAGCTGCTACTTCTAGAAAATTACGTTCACTACAGTTCATTTTTCCCTGACAGGCCCTTGATTCAAGAGAAGATTAAAGTTCTAGGAGAAGCTGGCCTTTCTGAGACCAATTTCTCAGAAGTGACAGAAGCCACTGATTACTTCCACAAGGTAAAGCCAGCCCTGACTGCCTATTTCTGGAGTGGAGGCAAGGCATCAAGCTGTCAGCCAAGCCCTTGAGACCTACGGACACAAGGTGTGATTCACTGCTTGGGCTATCTCTGGCCCTAGGGTTTCATCTGGCTCTGGAGTTAAAAAAAGAAAAAGAAAAAGAACCTACAGTCATGCTCAAGTCAGCCCACTATACAGCCCTTTATGGGGAAACATTGACTCTTAATGCTTCTCACATGCCCCAGAAGAAACCAAGGCTTCCAAATGCTGCTTTCCCTTAGCCCTCCAGAAATTGAAAAATTCAAGGCAATTGTTGAATTGTCACCAAAAAAAAAACAATAGCAACACCAATCATAGCAGGACTACTACAGAACTGTCTCCAGCACAGAACAGAGAAGACACTGAAATAGGGTACTACCTCAAAGAGCAGCTTCCCTTCTGTCATTTAATTTTATTCCCATTTTGTAATGGGGTAAACTGAGACACAATGCAAAGTCACAGGGGTATGTGAAACCCATGCCATCATGTCTATGGCATCAGCCCTCATTCTAAAGGGCCGTGACAGGCCAGAAGACATCATCCCATGACCAGATAGGTTTTGTCAGAGGGGCCCAGAGGGAGCTAGTTGATCTCAGAGTATAACCCTAGGCCCACCATGCCCGCCTTGCTTGGGCTACATGCTGATCCAGTGGCTGCCATGGCCTCCTGTGCCACCATTTAAGTGGGATACCATGGAGCAGGAGGCTTAGAGACCAACCCAGATGGTCAAGGATTTGGGTGAGTCTGAGCCTCAGACAGGAAGGCAGCTTTGTATCAGTATAGTCAACAGGGGACTAAGGTACCTTCTCCTTCCTCTGCAATTGCTGAATACTGGAATTTGAGTTAAATGGATGGATTTTATAGGTGACTCTAAAATTAAGAGCCTGAGCCGAGTACTTCTGGCTCATACCTTTAATCCTAGCTACTCAGGAGGCTGAGACCTGAGGATCATGGTTCAAAGCCAGCCTGGGCAGGAAAGTTCCTGTGACTCTTATTTCCAACTAACTACTCAGCAAAAGGAAGTGGCACTCTGGCTCAAGTGGTAGAGTGCTCGCCTTGAGCTGAAGAGCACTGAATTCAAGTCCCATGACCAACAAAAAAAAAAGAGAGAGAGAAATAAACAACCACCACTAACTACTCAGAAAAAGCCAGAAGTACTTCTGTGGCTCAAATGGTAGAGTGCTAGCCTTGAGTAAAAGAAGCTCAGGGATAGCACCCAGGCCCTGAGTTCAAGCTCCTGGATTGGCAATAATAATAATAATAACAACAATAGCAATAATAATAAAGATAAAATGGAGTTTGAATATTGACTTAACAAAGAAATCCTTTTTTTCTTATTATTGGCAGTAAGAAAGAAAACTGGAAGTGGTGCTGTGGCTCAAGTGGTCGAGTGTTTGCCTTGAGCTGATGAGCTGAGGGACAGTGCCCAGACCTAGAGTTTAAACCCCAGGACCACCAATAACAACAACAAAAAAGTAAAGAGCCATTGGTCACTGGTGGCTCATGCCTGTAATCCTAAACTATGCAGGAGGTGTAAGATCTGAAGATGGCACTGTTCGAAGCCAGCATGGGCAGGAAAGTCTGTGAAATTCTTTTTTTGGGGGGGCGGGGGGGGGGGGGGGGGGGGGGTCCGGTCGTGGGGCCTGAACTCTCCCTCAGCTCTTCAGCTCAAGGCTAGCGCTCTACCACTTGAGCCACAGCACCACTTCTGGCTTTTTACTTTTTGCTTATGTGGTGCTGAGGAATCGAACCCAGGGCCTCAGGCATGCAAAGCAAGTGCTCTACCACTGAACCACCTTCCCAGCCCCAGTCAGTGAAATTACTATCTCCAGTTAACCACCAGAAACCAAGAAGTGGAGATGTGAGTCAAGTGGTAGAGCACCCAAAATAAGTTCAAGGACAGAGTCCAGGCCCAGAAGTCAAGCCCAAGGACCAAGACAAAAAAAACTCAAGCCAAAAATACCAAAAACAAACAAAACAACCCCTCCACCCTCAAACAAACAAAACGATACTCAAGAGTCCCAGGGAGGAGCTAAACGGTGATACTCTACAGCAACAGTTAATCCCACCCAACTTTCAACTCAGACTTTAGGAAACTTCAGGCTCTTTTCATATCCATTCTTTCATTCATTCTTTCGGAACTCTGATCAGTGAAACTGCGTCACTCATAAACCTGACAATGTGATCATGGCCCAGCATTAGAACTTGTTCTGAGAGCTGTCTTGGATTTTTGTCACCACGATGGTCAGCAGTCAGGCAGAGGGCCTAACAATTTTATATAATATAGTGGAGAAAGCAATGCGATTCGGCAATGGGCTAAAGGTTTAAGGACTTCGCTAAGTCAAGCATCTAGTAAGCAAAGTTTCCTTGTGGACAGCCTGGAGGAGTTAACTGCAGGAAAACCTCAAGGCGATAGAGCTGAGTTCCTAGCGAGGTCGTTTCACCACTTCCGGTCTCCTGCCTAAAACCGCGCCTGCGCGGGACGGCCCTTCCTCTCTGGGCCTGGACCTGAGTTACGGCCATATGGTGAGCGTTGGTTTTTCTGTGACATAAATCTCTATCCATCCGCATCCGTCCTCTCGGTGTTTTCGTCTACACCATCCTCCATCTATCTGTGTTGTCTTGCATTCCACCCCGGCGTCCGCGTCCTCTTCGTGTTTGTAGGCTTCATTCCAGGGACGGGGGCGGCTTGGTGGGGCCTAGCTCATTCGAACCGGCTTGTGTCAGGGCATCGGGAGGCTTGGGACGCCGGTATTGCTGCACGTGGGGAAAATGAGGCCCCACCGGAGGTGAGGGGGAGATGCAAGGGCCGACTCAATGTTACTCCCATTCCTCCGTATAAACAGGCCAAACGCACCAAGAAGGTCGGCATCGTAGGTAAATACGGCACCCGCTATGGTGCCTCACTCCGGAAGATGGTGAAAAAAATTGAAATCAGCCAGCACGCCAAGTACAACTGCTCCTTCTGTGGCAAGGTAAGGTGGGGTCAGAGCTGTCTGATGGTTGGGGTAGAAGTTCATTCCAGCTGAGGTGGGCGTCCTTGCAAAACTTGGAGTTGGGCATAAATAAGGATTTGGTCCATTGTGTTCAAAAGTTGGTTTTCCTTACTTGTGCTCTCAAAAGCTAAGAAAAGGTTTTTGTTGTTTGTGCTGAAAATTACTTCTTTTGTAGACAAAGATGAAGAGGCGAGCAGTGGGCATCTGGCACTGTGGTTCCTGCATGAAGACAGTGGCTGTTGGTGCCTGGACCTACAAGTGAGTCTTACTTTGTGGTGCTTAGAGCTATTTGTGGACCAGACATGGACTTTTTTTCTGCCTATAATATATTAGATGAGGAAGGTAAAGATGCTGGTGTTTTCTCAAATTTCTTCAGTGTTACTGTTTACTTTCTATTCAGAATAGAAATAGCTACTGAAGCAAAAGTTGGAAGAATCCTCTACACCTCCATCTTGGGGGTTTAGGGGTGTACCATGCAAAGCAAGCTACTGAGCTATATATTCCTAGACTGAGAATCAAAATTGAAGAATTGAAGTTTAAGCTGATTTAACAATGTAAATTTTGGAGATATGTAAGATACACATGAAAGCACCTTAAGGTAAAATCAGAACAAGAGTGTTCTATTCTAACAGTGAAGTGAACGAGCATTTGTATACATCCATATGAGGTGGTATACTTGATAAATTTTTTTTAAGGTCTCCCTTGAATAGTGAAGCTTTTTCTAAGGGTTCTGGGGATTGTACCCGGGGTCTTGCATGTGCTAAGCAATCATTCTGCCATTGAGCTGCATCTTTTGACATTTAAATCTGTCTGGCACCTTAGTAACTCACTGTACGATCTTGGTAATTTAGTTTCTTCTGATCTGTCCATGCCCTTAAGAGTAGGTCAGACTGTTAGCAGAAGTAAGGTTCTGAGTACAGTGCATCCAGATCAGTGTTACCCCTTCCATTGATTAACTGCGGTATAATATTGATAGACTGGAAATTCAGACTTAGAATTGTAATGTTACAATGTAGATCTTCTTGTTACTTTAATCAGTTATGTTTGAAACTGCCTTTTTCTTAACAGCACCACTTCTGCCGTCACAGTCAAGTCTGCCATTAGAAGACTGAAGGAATTAAAAGACCAGTAAAAGCTCTAACATCTGAGACGTCCCTACCCTACAATAAATGGGTTAATTTATATAAGTGTTATATTTTTTGTAGTTAATTATTAACTATTAACTATACTAATTTGTGTGAATTATTGGATTTTTCTGATGGGCACAACCTGGCACTGGTAAGATTTGGAAGTTGAAGTCTTCCTGGTTTGATTGGAAAAGTTTTTGGTGGTGGGTCAGTTATCTTGATCCATTCTCTTCTAGTCTGCTGATAAAGTGTAAGAAAAGGTAAGCCTTATGAGTGGGTGTTATATGTCTTAGGAAGTATTCTAACGATTCCACTTTTCTGAGGCATGAGGCTTTTTTTTTTTTTGCCAGTCCTGGGGCTTGGGACTCAGGCCTGGACACTGTCCGTGAGCTTCTTTTGCTCAAGGCTAACACTACCATTTGAGCCACATCACTACTTCCAGCTTTTTCTGTTTATGTGGTACTGAGGAATGGAACCCTGGGTTTCATGCATGCTTGGCAAGCCCTCTTCCACTAAGCCACATTCCCCAGCCCCTGTGCTTTTAAGAATTACATTTTGGTGGTACTGGTGTGCTCTACCAGCCTTCTAAGTAGCTAGGATTTTTTTTCAGGCAGTTTCATGGCTGCCTTCCATTTGCTATCTTATACTCAGGAAAGTAGATTACAGGTGTGAGTTATCAGTGCCTGGCTCTTTTAAGGAGTACTTCGCATCTTTTTTAAAAATTTATTTTTAACATGAAAGGATGGAATAGGAGAAACCCTGGGTCTCCTTGGCTCAGGCTGAAATTTTCTGAATAGAGACCCGGAAACACAGCAAATCAAAGAAAGGTTGGACAAATGGGATTGCATAAGGTTGCAGAGCTTCTGCAGGGCAAATGACATAGCTAGCAAGATCAATAGAAAGCCCACGGATTGGGAGAAGATCTTTACTAGCCATACAACGGACAAGGATCTCATATCTAAAATATGCTTGGAACTCAAAA